ATTTATCTGTTCTTTGGGTTTTGACTAGATGCGTGGTCTTTTAAAAAGGATAAAGAATTGAAAAGCACAGATATGACGTTTGGCTAAAATTATGGTTTAATTTTTTAACTTTTTTTTAGCCGCTTTTTGTTGAACAATCAATAGATTAAAAGGTTTAAACTGTTGAGAAACTTTTAAATTTTTCGCTTTTCAATCAAAATATTGAGAAAAAAAGGAAAAAACAAAAGTTCTTCTAAAATTTTTTGAATTTTTTTTTGGTTTTTTTTTCTTTTACTTCTCTGTGAGGAGCTGCTTCGTAGGCGTCCGCTTATCATAGAGGAAACAGTTCAATCACAATGAATTGCGGTATTCTGACAAATTTTTTTGCTCAAATTGAACCAAACTGTAAACCTTTGTCATCGGCTCCACCTGAAAATTTAGTATTTCAAATACACTGTAAGCTTTTGTAACTGTGTCTCGGAATTCTAGCAGAACTTTTTGTTCAAATGCTATTGCAAATATCCATTTGTCAGTAATAAAAAAAGTGACGACAATAGTATCGATACACTACAATTGGCAATTTTCCAAAAGCTATGCATTTTACCGGAAGAAAGCTTTTGATTGCACAGAAAAAAAAGTCAAGAAAAAAGGAATTATTTATTTGTTTTTTAAATAGTTAACCAATTATCAGTGAATGTTCATTGGAGGAACATGCAAATCGAAAAAAAAAAGAAACACAAATTTTACATCATTTTTTCTTTGTTGTTTTCTCTTGTCTTTTTTTTTTTCACTTTTTAGATGACAACAATTTAAAAAACACAAAAAACTTTGATCAACATGACCAACAACTGTCACATGAAACAATTTACAAATTTTTTTTGCTTATTACTTTTCGTCTGTCTTCGTTTTTGATAATCAAAATACAACCTCATTTACCGCTACAATAATTGTCATCAACAACTTGAACTGCCTCCGTACACCCACAGCAATTCTAATCAGTGCTTCTGTGGCCAAAAAAAAGCGATTTAACAAAAGCTTTGACAAAAGCAAAAACAAAATCTTTGTCTAAACCTCGAGACAAAAAACAAAACGAAAGTAATGTTCAATTCTAAAGCAGAAAGCTAGGGTACTGTAGCAGATAGCCAGTGTATAAAAAATGTTATGAAAACATTTGCCGTCCGAACACCAGCGATTTGCAAAGAATTTCACCAATTTTCATTCAACAGTTCATTTTTCTTTCTTTTGTTTTGTTTTTGTCTTCTCAATACGCATACACTAAGACTGTAAAGAAATAATGTTGAAAATTCTTTGCCTGCCTTTCTTCTTCTTCTGCTTTAATCCTCCTCCTTCATTTTGATTCTTCTATGTTATTCAGTATCAAATACAAAACATTGAATCAAAAAATAATTTTAGCAGCAACAAAAGCTGCTGTTTCTAATTTCAGAAAAAAGTTTCTAATGCTAGCTAAAGATGCTTGTTTTATCGGTGTTTTAGCAAGCATCACCATTCTGTCGTTGAGCCTACACAACAACAAATAGACTAAAACAAAATTTAATTGCTTAATGTGGTTTCCTCAATTTTTGTAACAACCATTATTTTTTCAGTTTCTTTTATTATTTTCTGCTCTGTTATCGTTCTTTATTCTTTTATTTTTTGTGTCTTTTTCTCTTGTTTTTTTCTTTTCTTCCAATATCAAGTTAAAAACAGACAAAAAAAAATTATTTAAAAGCTAAACTGACTTTTACCAGAATCAAGAAACTCTAAGTTTCAGTACCAATGAAGGCGGCAGTAACAGCAAAAACCACTTTTTTTTTTAAAGATTGCACTTTTTCGAAATCAGTTCAAAACATCTACCGTTATGAGAGGCAATCAAGAGGACAAAAAATCATTTTTGCATTAACAGTTCAAAGGTTCAAAAACCTTCTACTCTTTTTTTAGGTAAACTATAAACTTGAAATTAGAAAAAAAAA